GACCAGTTGAATGACTTGAACGTTATCTAACGATACAATACTTCTAAGTGGGTTGTTTCATTGTAATAGGCAATTAGTGAGAATTAAATTAGTTGTGGTGACAGCCTAAGGCATTTTTTACTTAATTTAAATTTAATTTTAATCTGTATGATGTATTATAAGTAGATTTTGTAAGCGCCACGATAAAATTGGACAGATGCCTTGTTTTGTTGGAGAATTTCTTTTATAGCTTGGGAATCTGGTTCCAATTTCATTGCAATATGACAATATTTTTCTCCTAAACTTATTGTTTTATTCAAGTCTTTGATATCTATCCCAATCTATAATGCTTAAATAAAATAATTCGAAGTGGTCTGTACTCTGTCGAAACTGCCAGATGCGGATAGCGATTTCGATCTTTTTGGATCTCATCAGCGCGTCGCAGACAGCTCTTATTCTAAAACGCGCTGTTAAGAAGACAGTAGGTAAAAGTTGGTCTGTGTTCTGTCGGAGCTGTCTGCGACGCGCTGATGAGATCCAAAAAGACCGAAATCGCGGTCGTTTCGACAGAACAGACCACTTCGAATTATTTTATTTGATTATGGTAACGCGCCTATCACGTTGAGGTTAGCTACGCCGGGATTCGTTTCAGCAAGTAGATATCCACACAAGTGGACCTTGTTGGAGCATACGTAATCCTAAAATGCAGCATCGTACTACAGATGGCGTTTACCGTGCGATTTGTGGTATTTTCTATAATGCTTAACTCTGAGTGAAACATTCACAAACTTCTGAGCAGTTTAGCATCGGACAGCACGAAGCCAAATGATTTGTTTGTCCAGTCAGATTCGTCTTTGGATGTTTTGTTAAACAAATAAACGTAATTTTACAGGACGGTACAGAACAAAGAAATCTTTTAGAAGATATAACATGACGATTGCGCGCAGAAGTTGGCTCAATCTGTCAAACAGTGAACTTCTAAATCATTGCGTTAGATGTTTAGTTTAAAGATAAAAAAATATGTAAGAGGAAGGTTTGAAGAAGAAGAACATAGATGCAGTCGTCATCTTCGTAAAGGTACTAGTACCTGACAAGACCTTTAGCTCTGTTAACACAAGAGACCTCAAACAACGCACGGCGAGACAACAGAGAAACAAAAGCTTGACCAACTAAACCACTGTCAATATCCTGCGCAAATATGTGCTTTACGGATAGTTGTATTTTATTCGTGTTTGCCGAATGTCACTTTAACTGTAAAGAAATCAAACAGACTCGAGTGATTCGAGGTAACAATGATTTGCTTTTTAAAAACCACAAAGATTATCCATGAAATTCTATACCGTTACAACGTTCGACTCGTTGAAAGGAAAGTGAATTCCTTTAACTATCGTTAGCAATATTCAAATTTAGTAATTGATCACTAAATAGAGTTGAGGATCTAAAAATAACTTTCCGGCTTTTTTATTCTTTAACTTCATCAGATTTACTACAATGAGCAGTCAATTTAATATTATTTGAAGATTTTCATAGGAGCAAAAGCTATAAAGACGTTTTTAGGACTTATTCAATTGAAAAATGTGTAATTTGTCGCATATTCATTAGGTGAGGCATAAATAAACGAGGATAATGACGTAAGGAATCTTGGAGTTTTCATTGATTGAAGATAGATTATGTTTTAAGGATCAAATTGAAATATGAGTAACTAGGAAAATCCTTGATTTCATTAGTACGCTTTTAGCGCGAATTTCAATAGAGCTATTGAGATATTATGTCATGAATGTTGATGAGAGGGGGTGCTGCCTGCTGGGGGGTGCATGACAAAATATGATAATGTGGTGAAGGAGTAACATGACGTTTACATAGAGTCGACCCCTTGCAAAAACGAACAAATGATGGTGTGATTCTAAGGGGGGGGGGGTTAAAGTGACGTAATACAATATGAACGTAACCTAAAATCTTACAGTACAGCTACAATAATTTGGTGACCACATCAATCAAACCTACGAGTACAAATAACGGATAACTAGAAAATTTGTAAGATTTCTTAAAATATTTTAAAGGTGGAATTCAGAACCGTAGAGAGAGAATGTCAAAGAACGTGGGTCTATGTGAGTTATTGGTGATAAGAAGTAAATGCATACGTTCGTCTTTGGTTTTTGCTTAATATTATTAATGACGAAGCTTTATAAATTGTTATGTTCCCTCAGATATTAAGCTAAAAAGTATTAGGTAATGCGAAAATAATTTTGCTGATGACTTGGATCGGTATGGGCGGTTGACTTTTTAAAATACCTAAATAAGAAAAGTGCATACAAACATTTGAATAAAGACTTTTTAATATTTCTGTGCAATTATCCAAATGAATTTACTTCTTTACTTGGTGGAAAATCATTGTAACATTAACAAAAATTAAACCACTTGTATTTTCCATAAAATTTTATTAAAGAAGGAGTAAATTGATAAAATATTGTATATGTAAATCAATTAACAGAAAAAATACAAGTGAATTACATTTAATTCTTGTTTTTACCAAAGTAAAAATGTTTAAGATGATTTTCATTCAAAATAGTTTTATTTTTAACTGATTTTTTAAGTTTTGCTTGAAGAGATTTTAAAGAAGATTCATTTATTAAAAGACCTTTACGTTGGATCTGCAATAATTTTATTGATAGAAAAAAGATGTCCTGCGATACCTATCAGTTGTAAATATCTAATTGTCTTTTGTACTTTTACAATCCCATAAAATAATGCAACAAAAACTTCATTCCGGCTGCTAATACAAAATTAAGAAGATAGAAATGTCAACGGTTAAAATTCATTTAAATATGCAACTACCCGACTACTTCATTGTGCTTGTAAACCTCTTTATGTTTCTTAAGTCGCATGGAAACAGTGAATGACACTAATGAATATATTTTTCAACTAATACCTTTGCCTTTCCTTCAGGGGGCCTCGACTAATGAATTGCGTTTCTTTGGAAAAAAGACATTATCCGCAGTTTACCTCTTTAAATACTTTTGTGCTAGCAGCTTCTTTTTTTTCAACGGTATTGGACACAATTACGTACTCATCGTTCTAACAAAATTACCAACTAAAAGTCTACCTACTTTTACCTTGGCGTATTATACGGGTTTTGGCTAAATCTGTTTGTTACATATCACCGCTTGCTTGATAAAACGATGACCACTCCGTAGTAAGGCGCTTATCTTTTGTCCAGTAGCTGAAGTCCCCTGTTTGGGGTGGTCCGGCTATAATGCTGATAGTCGTTTATCTCCTTATTTAAAATCTATCCCTTTTGTGTTCTATTCATGGTACTTAATTAGTGATAATGGAAAAAGTAAATTAGACTCAAATAGACGATGCCCTTCGGTCGGAAGGATTTCTCGATTCTTCGATTCTAAACCATCAAATTGGACATAAAACTCTAGGTTTATCTTTATGAGAATGACTAGACCTTAATATAATTGTTCTCTCTCTCTGCCTAACGTATAATAGGTTACCTTTTTAACTATAGATATTTTTTTTAAATATCCCTCTACTAGGGTCAATTGAAAAATCCCCGGCCTGACACATAGATGGCGGTACCAGAACTAAATCCATATGATTTTCAATTAGTCCTAACCTTTAAAAGACGCGTCTATAAATTTGACGGCTGTCGGATCATTAGTTTGTGAATTATAGCATTTTTAGTGAAGCAACTTTTGTTATTGTGAAANTGTTTTTATGGATCTCTCACAGTCTCTGTATGAGAGACTCGAACGATAAAATTGTTAATTCAGAGATTCGAGTCTCTCACAGAGAGACTGAATGAATAAAACTGAAAAATTGAGAGATTCAAGTCTCTCGTAGAAAGACTGGGATCTCTGAAATATGTTCAACTTATAAAATTTTAACCATGTCTATCGAGACACCACTTATTGAGCGACTCGAGTCTCTCGTTCAGAGACGCTAAACAGTTTTTCTGACAGTCTCTCCAGCGACACCAGAGACTCAATGAGAGACGGAGAGTCGAGTCTCGCTTTCAGAGACTCTGAGAGACTGAACATGTTTATCTCTGGTATAAAGACACGTTTAATTTGCATTTACCAAAAATCATTTTCGTAATGTTCATAATAAAAGCATTATCATTATTCATTTATTTACTTATTTATATAGTCAGTATCTATATGCATGATTTTAATTATGCATTTATTCATACAATTTTGCAAGTATATACGTGTTTAAATAATATCACCGGTCCATGTCCGGGCTAGGTTCCCAAGTTCTCCTTTAGCAACAATTTCTAGAAATCATCGCCAAATTTTTCTGAAAAAGTTTGTAACTTATTTGAAGATACATTTTCTGCAAAAAGGTTTTTTAGTGCAGAATGATTTTGCAGTTCACTAAGTTCCAACTGAATATTGGTAGGATAACAGATTATTTCGGTCAAGCTGATCATGAAAGGATTAACAATAATTTGTAAATTATATTTTGTACTATCAAAGTCATGGAATTTGCTCTCAAACAACTGAAATAAGAATCTAATGTCAGTTTCGTAATACTTTATGATTAATTAAGATTATGGTGGCAGTATTAAGCTTCTCTTTCAAATTTGCGAGAATTTTGAAGCACAGGTCATTCACAATTCGCCTGGAGTTGGACAGTTATTAGTTAGAGGCATATCAAAAGCAGTAGCTGGAGTTAAGAGATCTAAATTACTGTTCGAAAATAATGTAACCTGGTTCTGGAAATGCATCTCCAACAACTGCGGGCTGAAGGGCTTATGATGATCATGAACGGCAAAGTGGCAAAGTCCTGAATCTCTGAATCCTTGTGTATGTTACATTATTAATTAACTGAATCTTAATTGTCAATTGTTTTTTTAAATTTAATGTGTAATAGTATTTATACGTGGAGAAGTGTACGTACTGAATGGGTCTAACAAGTCGTGCTTTATGGTACACCTTCACTGTTCGTAATCTACAACGTGTATCTGTAGTGGTAAAGGATCCAGAGCTGCTGTTAGGTGTCCAGCAACTTACCGAAACTGCTCCTTGCAACTCACGACCGCTAGGTGTTTGGCGATAAGAAGAGCCTGCGATAGACCTTTCCTTTTGCGGCACATTTTATTCTGGTGCTTGAAACCACGCAACCATCGGCATGGCGTCACGTTTGTTGACACATTGCTGTCACCGTTGGCCGCTGATGTTGACGCGTTACTATCATTATGCGAAAAGATCAGAGAAACGATGCTACGTCTTCGAGCCAGTTTCGGAAAATTCACTTTGTTTGACTCACCAGTTCTGAAAAAGGAAAAATTTTTCAAAGATCATCAACTTGATTGAAAGACTTTGTTTTGTCTGTCGATTTTTCGCTAATGATTAACTGAAACATCTTTCAGAATTAGCCATTTCTTATATTTTAAGGCTGTTGGAAGACGAGGCAGTTCATCTTGGTATGAAAAAAATGATGAAAACACCAATCCTTAATTGTTCTTCTTCTATTCATGCATATGTAATTGCCCTGATTCCATAAAAATATTCTATTCTAGACTTATCTAGACGATTAAGTCGTATTAAATAAATTAGTTTACGTGTTCCTTTCTTCTATTTGTTTGGTTGTTAATATGTTTCTTTCTTATCAAGAAAGGTGCTAATGGCAAAATTGTACAAACTGTATAATTTATAGTCGAAATTGTTGTTATATTTAAGTAATAGAAAGTACAGCTTAATTTATTTATTATAAGTTGTCATCAATTTAATCTTAATATAGCCTAAGGTGTTCTGTTTTGTTTGCAAATAATGCTAATGATTTCGTTTAATTACTTGTTTATATAACACATTAACACTCTCTTCAAACGTGCATATATATATAAAAAAAAACAATAGATTTTATAATGTGAAAAGAGGTACTCGAAATGGATGAATAAACAGGCACAAGCGGGAAAGATAAACACAAATAAGGTTCTAATGTTGCAGTGTTAACTAAAAAACCAACATTTAATTTATATGTCAATATCCGGTCTGCATTGGTAACAGAAATTTCACAAGAAAGGTGTGTATAAATGAAACAACACAAAATTCCCTAAGAATGACTAAATATTGCAATTTTTTATAACTACATAAATAAAAGATGTTAACACGCATTCATAAAAACTGATATTCTATTATTTACATTTTATATTTACACAGGAGATTATTTTTTTTGTATTAGTAATAAAATTAGTGCGTGATTACTTTCCTAGTTTTTAAAAGCTTTTAATTCAGGATCATTCTCTGGTGAAATCGATTTATTCTATTTATTTAATATTAATCTTCTTACATCTTCATTCTTAAATGATTTCTTGACTTAATTTGTTCTTTAACACCTACAATTGTGATTCATTAAACAATATTGAAATTAAACTTTTTCAGTTCACACTAAAATTAAGATGAAATATTAACACTTTTAACTTCTTTTTTATTTATCTGTTAATAGTTAATAAAGACTGCTCCATTATCATTACTATTACATTGATATGCTGGTTACAGACTTTCAAAACTAATTTTTTAACGTGCATAAAATGCCAATTATCCTGAAATTTTAATCTACTGATTGACACAATTAAAATTGAATGATTACTTGTATATTTTAATTTTTATTTTGTTTTTCCTGATTTCGTCCTTTTTGGGTGTAATGCCGTCGCGTCTTTTGTAAGCTCTCAATAGTATCGAAACTTTCTTTTTTATGATTTTAATACAATTGTGTTACAGAGAACATTATGATTTCTCACCTATTGCTATAATAATCTGATAACACGCCATTATATAAGAGTATAATGAACAGGAACCAAGAAAACATCACAATTGTCACATGTTTACGAAAGTAGACCCTTCTTACTCGAAATTGAAACTTTAACTGATGAGAAAACAATTTTACTATATAT